CCCCCGATGGGGAGGACTGGGGTGGCTCTGCGGGCTCCTCAGGGTGGACACTCTCCTGCAGCCCCCTGATTGACACCCCCCTCGGATGGCAGCCTGCGGCAAGTGCAGCCGGGCTGATGGCCGAGTGCTGTGATGTGCCCAGTGTGGGCACTCAGGGCACTCCAAGCCAGGACTGCTTTGCAAGCGGGGAACCCTGAAAACTGTCTGTCCGGGGTGGGGGTCGGGTCCCTTTAAGCACAGCCCTGCCGGCACTGCTTCCGGCCAGCCTTAACCCCAGTTCAGGGTCCACTCAATGTGGACATGCTAGTTCGAATTAGCAAAACGCTAATTCGAACTAGTTTTTAGGTCTAGATGCGTTAGTTCGAATTAGCTTAGTTCGAATTAACTAATTCGAATTAAGTTAGTTCGAATTAGTGCTGTAGTGTAGACGTACCCTGTTGGAGGAAGGTGAGACCTATCCAGGAGAGAGCTTAGGCCTGTGGTTGATGTTTTTTCCTCTCTGAGCCCATTTATCAGATGTGTCATTACCGATTCATTGGCAGATCGTTATTCAGTGGCAGGCTTTCTCTCCCATCTTTGCTTGTGGATCTTTGATAAGTGATTTCTGCTGAAGAATACTCTCTAGTCCAATATCCTAATCTCTCCCCTGTCACTTTGTTTGAAAAATTGGACCATGTGTGTTTCTCTGCGTGTGCAGTGAAGGAGGCGGCAAAAAGACCTGCCCCCAGGGAGGGAGGTCGGAAGTGCGAGGAGGCGCAGAGTCTGGGAGGAGGCAGGATGGCCATTGGCAGACGCCCCCTTGCTAACACAGCCCCTAGACACAGAATGGGGCCCCCGGACACGGGCTGGATCCCACTCGGCCATTGGGGGAGGGGCAGTGTCCCGAGCGGGGTGGCTCTTCTGCGCACAGTCCCCCCGGGGCAGCACACAGCACTGTGACTGGGGTCTGAGCTTTTACCAAACAGGGCTCCGCTGACGCAGTGAAGACAGATCTGGGGGTCTCAGGAGAGAGGCCGGGGACTGAGTGCGACATGGGACTAAACTAACCCTCCCTACTGAAAAGTGACCTTTGGGGGAGATTTGTGGCACTTGGGGGGCGGGTGGGGAAGCCGGGCCCTGAGCTGTCCTGGTCTGTGTCCCCACAAGACAACTGGCAACTTTCCTGTGGGGCAGGGAGACTGAACTCTGGCTGGGCCGCAGAGGAAATCCCGCCGGGTCAGAGCTGAGGTCTGCTGGGCTTGGGATGGCAGCGTGAGGCTGTTTCTACACGGGCATTTTCATGGCTAAAATGTTTTTCATCAGGGGGTTGATAAAGCCCCCTCTCCCCTCCTCCGCCCAATGACAAATCATTTCACGATGAGAAGCATCAGTCTGGACAGCGCAGCTCTGCTGGGCGCTTCGCTAATACTGAGTGAACTCTGTCCCCTCGTCGGGCTGGTTTTATCCCGTGGCGGGAGAGCTCTCCCCCGGCGATAACGGGGCTGCACTGCTCACCCGGCAACAGCGCGGCCGCAGGGGCCCTGCCGTGTGGCTGTGAGCGGCGCGGTGCAGACGGGGCCTTCGGGGGCTTCTCCTCCCACAGCCCCTGCCCACCCAGCCCCTTCCCCCCGCACCACGTCCCTGCGCAGACGCGAGGGCAGGGAGGGGCAAGTTGCTTTTCTCTCTCCTGAGCCGTTTTGCAGCCTCGGCTCCGAGGTGACCGGCCCTTCCCTGGGCCCTCGGGGACAGGCCTGTTCACAGCCCCTTGGGCCGCTCTGCACGACGGCCCCACACACGAGTGACCCACACGGCACACGCCAAGGCCAGGCCTGCTCTCGTTTAATGGGGGGAGGGAACGACATTTCTGTGGGGAGTCGGGGACCCGCTGCCGCGGCTGCTCCTGGTCCAGGGCGGGTGGATCCCTCCGGGCTCATTTCCACTTTTTGAGGGGGAGGCAGCAGTAGGACTTGGGGCAGTCGTACGTGTAGGTCTCATACTCGTATTTGCCGCATTTCCAGTCGCAGCGACCAGCACAGCCCTTCTTCTGCCCTAGGCCTGCGCCAGACAGAGAGAGTCCGGGTTAGAGACAGGAGCTGTGCCCACAGGCCCTGCCCACCATGCCCCCCCGCCCTCCTCCCACGGTTCTCACACAGCTCGGACGGGGGGCTGGCCCTGACAGCGTCACCCCGGTTCCCGGACACTCCTATCCATGGCCCGTCCCAAGGGGTCAGACCGACGGGGCAGCTGAGGGGCCGTTTCTTGCCCTAGAAGGGAAGGGCGGCTCAGCACGGTGGGGGCTGCCTTCCCCTTCCTGAGGGATCGGCCTCCACTCGGTTAGTGTCCCCTGGAGAGCCCCCCCATGGGGACACCTGCCCTGACATAGAGCAGGG